CGATGGACGAAGGACGGGTCATTCTCGGGAAGCTGGCATTGAATGGCTCCATGTCGATCTCCAGCGTGGCGAAGTCGCTGCAAACTGGAGGCGCCTCATCGTCAGTAGCCTTCACGCGCTCCTTAAACTCCAAGTACTCCGACGGGCTGAGCTGCTCCACCGTGAGCTCGAACACGTTGATTCGAATGTACTGCCATTCCGCCACACGAGGACGGACTGCCAGCGCGATGTAAGGAGGAACGACGACTGCCTCCTGCGTCCCTCGCAGGAGCTTGGCGAAAGCGCTCTCCTTGATCTGCGTGCCGGCGAAGCACTCCAGCTCGGCAACGCGGTCCAGCTCGCTTCTGAGCTCGTGCGGCTGCAGCATGTGCTTCCCGTTCGCCACGTAGCGAGACAACAGCAGGACGATCTGGTTGCGGTACTCGGCGATGGATCCCTTCACACGATCCGTCATGCTGTGCAGCCGAGTGAGCTCCGGAAGCTTCTCCGGGCGAGGGACCAGGTCGCTCAGGTCGGCGGTAGTCCGCTGGCTCGCCATCGCCGCTGTGCTCCTCGCGTTTSCCGCTCACCGATAACCACAACCTAACAACGCAGTCAAACTACGCACCCGCAAGGAACACGCGACAGGACCGACCGGCACCGTGGCGACACACACGCTCTGGTGTGGCGACACACACGCTCTGGTCGGAGACTGCGAGGAGGACGAGATCGATGCTTTCTCGACTGGAGACACTGCCTTTTTACGTTGAAAAAGCGCGGGTCTTTTGGTGCTCTGTCTGTCACTTAATGGAGCGGACGCGATGAAGGATAGCGGCGCCTCGAAGAGTTTTCGTCTTTGTCGCTTTTTTGTCTGCGAAGGAGGACAACAGCAGTGCTTCCCGGCGTCAGCAATGCGCCTGTGTATGCATTCATGGTGCTCCCTCGAAGGGTACGCGGCGCAACGCTTTTTGTTCTCGGTTTTTTTTTTTTTGTCCGTACCTGGGATGCGTCTCACAAGCCAAGGCACAGGCGCGCATCGAGGCGCGCATCAGGGACAGACGTGAACGAAAGGAGAAGTGCTAGCTGCATCGCAACCCGAGGTTCACTCCATGAACTGTCGAGCATTCTTCAATGTTTCTTGGGCCTCGCTGCACTACTCTCGAAATGTGCAAAACGAGAGTGAATCGTCCCGTAGAATATGGACGGATACACCGACAATTTTTTATTTATTTTTTTGGGGGGGAACAATATTTTTGTCGTTTGTGCATGTTCTTTGTTTTTTTTTTTTTTTCCGAGAAGGTCCGTCGTTATATTTCAAATCGATAAAATTCGAGGCCGGGGACCTCACAATTCAACCCGGAGTTGCCTTGGAACCACTTTGCTGGAAACCGGGTCCAGCGTCTCTGAGCTACCCCTACCTGTAAGAACCAAAAACTTCTCAGAAAAACATCTTGAAGCACAGTAAAAGTGGACTGTTCGTAAGATTTACCCTGCATACCACCAGTCCAACTGTCTGAATGTCTCGCTAAAACAAGGTTTGTCAACCTCAGTGTTTGTTGGTTATCACTGTTGAAACACCGTGAGACACTAACTCTACCCCAGGCGGCCTCCTTTACATCGTTGTCTTTTGGCAGCGCCCTGTGGCCTTTATTTCCTTCTTTTGGTCTACCAGGCGACCAAAATAGTCTCCATTTAAGGAGAGATCTTTCTAACTCATCATATCACTACTCAAGAGACTCTGCTTCCCGGAAGTAGCCACTTGGAGATTTCCAGGCGTCCCTCAGTCGAGACGGATGCCCAAATGTTGGCTCTTGCCCAAGAACGTCGGAATTTTGAGTTTCGTGCCAATTTACATCTTGTAGCTCGCCAGTCTGAGCGAATGGCTTACCGAATCTGTTCTTTGACCAAGGTGATTTGCTGTTGGAGTGGCATCTTTTCATCTCTGAAAACCTTAGCATTTCTTGCTTTCCAAATAATACTCATCACTGCTCCCCTGCAAACAAACGCTCCGTAGCCGTTTCCGGACATGAAGTTCGTCTTCTGTGGAGGAATCGCATGGAGGATCCAATCATCGGTCCACTCCCATTCCACTCCCACAATGTTCTGCCAATGGTCTCTCCACCACCGCCAGAGTTCGTCAGACAATGGGCAATGTAGCCACAAGTGAGTGCTGGTTTCCCAGCCCCAGTCGGATCTCTGACAGTTGATATCAATCGGCATTCCTTTCGCCTCTAGCCATACTGCTGACGTCGTCGCCTGCATAGCCTGGAGCCACATTATGCCTGCATGTCTCTGCGAAGGTATCCTCTTCAAGATCCTCCAAATGTCTTTGAAATCTTGTTGCTTATCTTGCCGACTGATTTGCTTCTGGAATCTTTCTAGGGCCATCTCACTCGGTCTCTTCTTTACCTTTTGTCGCAAGAAATTCACCCAAACCTTCGGTTTGTATCTGTATATCGGAATGCTTCCCATGCTTGACGTCCGCCCCCAACGGAACAGTAACGGTTCTACCTTATAATCTTTGGTTTTCTTTCCTAGTAGCACGTAATGATGTGCCTTGTTGTTCCTTGTGTCCAGCGGACCAGCACCCTAGCTTTTGACAAGCCCACCGTAGTCTGTAAAGTCTCCTCCATTTCCAAACTCAGTAGGGATTCTCCTTTCCACTTCTTACATGCCGTCCATGTCTCAACTTTCATCCCCCCTCCCAAATCTGGCCCAACTACCTTCAGAATGCGTTGGGGGTTGGTGTCCGTCGGGTGGAAGAGCCATGTTTCTTCCCCATGCTCCGCCTCCTCATTCAACAACCCCTTCCAGTGGAAAGGAATAGCTTGTTTAATGAGGGTAAAGTTATGGTCCACATTTCGCAGTCTTGGCAGTTTTTTCTTTAAATCCGCTGGGGAGATCCAGTCTCCTATGCCTGCGTCCCGTATGTCCCTGATCTGTAATATACTCTTTTCTACCCAGCTTTTCCCGAAATCCCCTGCTTCCTTTGAGACCTGGAAAGACTCTCTATTGCTTCGTGTTATATATGGGTCTGAGGTTGTCTTAACAGATCTGGACGTGTCTGGTTCCATGCTGTCAAAATAGCGGCCCATACTTTGGACTTCAGTTTCTTACTTGCATATGCATCTAGCATGATGGCTCTCCAAACATCTGAAAAGGAGTTCAGTGACCACTCTGTACCAATGATGTATTCTGCAAACTTCACCCACAGTTTGTCTTCCTCCTCAAACAAAGTCATTTTCACCCACTTACTCAACAGTGCAAGGTTTTGTTGATGTGGGTCCAGTATTCCCAAGCCTTCCTCATCCCTTGATTGGGCCACCGCCTCCCAGGCAACTTTCGATAGAAAGTTCTGTGTCTCTAAGGCATCAGGCTTCCAAAGGTACCTGGCCGCCAGTCTCCTTATTCTCTTGTACACTTCCTCCCCCAAGTAATGAACTGTGAGGGGAAAACATAATACAGAGAAAGCAGTTGTAGACAACACCAAAGCCCGTCCAAAAAGAGAGAGCTTGTGAGATCTGATCCACCCTGCTATTCTTGCTGAGATCTTTTCCACCAGGAGGTTGTCTTGAGTCCGTGCACAGTCTGTTAGGGATATCTGCACTCCCAAAAAGCGGTCAGAGTTACCCGTCGGAATACATCGCAATCCCCAATCCACACAAAGCACAAACTTGGGGGAGAGGAAGAACACCGATTTATCCCGGTTTATGGAAGCCTCAGACAGCGCACAATACTCATCTAGTACATTCCTTGTCTCATTCATAGATATTACTGTGTTTTCACATGCCAATATTAAATCATCTGCTAGGGTTCCTCCTTTCGAATGAAGAGATGGGGTAACCCTTAGTCCATTTATTCTATCGTTGTATCTAATATTATGAAGTAGTACTTCTAGTTGTAGCACGAAGCGAAGTGGTGCAAGAAGACAACCCTGTCGCAGGGACCGGGATAACGGGAAATCTTCTGATAATTTGTCGTTAACCATTACAACTGAAGTTGCTTGTGAATACATCAGAGTGGCTGATCTCATAAAAGCCGGGCCAAAACCCATTCTTTTTAATGTCGTGAGTACAAATGTCCAGCCCACTTTATCGTAGGCTTTTTCCATATCCAGTAACAGAATTGCCACGTTCCTTTCCTCCTTACCAATCACTTCCAGGGCTTGAATGGTGGTCAATATATTTTCAAATATAGACCGACATTTTACAAAGGCTCCTTGTTCTCATCCAACTTACCCTGAGAGCAACTCGGCCAGTCGGAGGGTCTGGGCTTCGGCAAATATTTTATATATCACGTTTAATACCGAGATAGGTTTATAATTCCTCACTTTTGATTTGTCACCTTTTTTATATAGTAAGGAAATTACCTCTTTGACAAAGCCCTTCGGAAAAGAACCCGACTGAAGAGTCCTATTATACACTTGAAATAGAAATAAGGCAAAAGAACCCGAACATTGTTGGAACAGCTCAACCGACAGTCCATCCAGCCCAGGGCATTTACCCTTGGCCATTTGATGGATTGCCTCTTTGAGCTCCAGCTTTGTCTAGGGGGTTTCCAACATCACTGCCTGCAGACGTGTGAGCCTGACCTGCGTGTGAGCCCAGAAGTCCAAAGTTTTCGACAAGTCTGTATCCAGTGTGTCAAAAGGCCGTTTTGTGGTAACTATATCCTTGAAATATTCAGCCGCATACGAACACATTAAAACTGTAACCGTTGCTTCAGGAGCGGTTAGAGAGAACGGGTGCATGAATACAACCATCAAGGACTTAGTTTGTCTTAATAGAAGCGACCTAAACGTTACCTTTGACATCTTATCATAGCCCACTATTCCCCTAAGTTTTAGCCAACCCAACCATTCCGCCTGTTTTTTGGCATCGACACCCTCTAATTGTAGAAGATATTCTTTCATTTTTTCAGCCCAATAATAATCTTCAAAAATATCTTTGCCCATGTTTGCTTCGGCCTCTCTAATCTTGTTCTGCAGCGTCTTCTCCTTCCACTGTCTGTTTACTGCCTTAATTCTTGAGAAGACCATGAGGGTCGCCCTTACTATCCCTAGACCCACCACTGCCCAATAGTCCTCATTCCCATAGAACAAGTTTTTTGCATTCATCCAATCCTTCATATGATCGTTTATCCGATTTGTTATCCCCTCATCCTGTAAATTATTCACATTTAATCTGAACAGGGGTCTGTGTTTCTCTATGGATTCACTCGAAATGACATCCATCAGAACTACATAGTGGTCTGAGTATGTTGCCGCTTTCAGATCAGACCACATGCACCTGTCCCATGGCGCTCCCCTGGCCAAAATAAAATCCAGTCTTTTCCTCGGTTGAGGAATGAGGGGTTTTGGTCTCGGGCCGTACCAAGTAAAGCGAGGGTCTTCTGGGTTAAGCTCCCTAAAAATATCAATCAAACTCTGCGATTCTTTGAAATAAGAAAGAATTAAGGAATTATTCCTAAACGAAAAATTAATTAAAGAATCTAAGCCCGGATTAAATATTGTATTCCAGTCTCCCAGCAGTATCAAATTCTCTATGTCCGGGATAATCGCAGGGAGGTTTGTGAGGAATTCGATCCTCTCATGATACATAACTGGGGCATATATTGACATAATG